ATGTATAGTATGAAATATTATATAATTATAAAAAGGATGCTTCAGAGCTATATCTATTTATTTGTGCTTGCAAACAAATGTATATAGTATGATCCCACTAATGTTAAACAGTGGGAAGGACTTCCAAATTCCTTTATTTGTGTTATATTTTTATGTTGTTGTAATATCATTGAAAAAGGTTAGAATTGCAGAAAGAGAGAACATACCTTGGGCTACAAAGTGGAGTAGGGGGGATGAGGGGAGGGAGGAGGGATAATTGGGTGGGGGACACTGGGTACAAATGCAATTTGTGGTAATGAGTATGCTGGCAGTATGAATCTGGCCTTCACATCTTGGGCACAAGGAGTGACAATCAGCTTTGTATCTCATGAATATTCATAACCAATAAAAATGTATAAAACACGATAAAATAATTAAATAAATAAATAATAATAAAAAAAAGGTTTGTAATAATACATACCAAGAGCTTAATATAGGTTGAGTGTGATTGTAGGTGAAATGAAAGAACATTAGGCAGTCCTGAGAGGTGGCAAACAGAAAAAAGAAAGGGGATAGAGGAAGGTTATTAGTTTTTTTCTATTATAAATCATTTTATTGTTATAAAGATTGCAGTAAACCATATTAACCTTTGATAAGTTTGAAAAATGCTCTTAATGCACGAAATTCTAAAAAATAAATGATTAGAATTTTTATTTTTGTATTCTCATAAGCATAAATATCAGGATCACCTCTTTATCTAAGACAGATGAATCTAAAGTATGCAGAAAATATATTTGAGGTAGAGATACTCAAGTCAGGGAGCCTGCTTCTTCCTCTGAGGAGACTATAAGTAGCTCATCATTCTGTTGACAGAATTCATTTAAGGAGTTGTTTGCTCGTCTGAGTGTATTTATTCTTATAGTATAGATTAGAACAGTGTCTTTTACCTCATGCTTGTTTTTCAAATAGCTCCTTTTTCCTCATCTGCAACTGAACCCTAAATTTTTTACAGTCTGGAGGCAATGTCCCATTTCCCAGCATGGGGACCAGCTGTGTAGATCCCTGCAAATGTATTCTTTCATTTAACTTAAAAGTCTAATGGTAGTGCCGAGAGATGCTATGTCATTTAAGTGTGGGGACACTTTGCCATTGAAGATGCTTTCAACTGAAAGTAACAGAAAACCCAGACTCAAATTGCTTTAACTATAAAGAAATTTGTTTTCTTGTAACTTTAAGTCAAAAGTAGGACTCCATCCAGCCCAGCAACAACCCAGCTGCTGCTAGAAGCCCCCTGGTCTCCCCTGCCGGAATGAGGGTGGGGGCACAGGCCTTGATCAGGTTCTCCCTCCTTCCCCTTCTTCCCACTGTATTTCCCCTCCCCCTTCTCTTCTCCTTCTCCCCCACAAGTGCTCCACAGCAACATCTTAGAATGAGGCACAGAGCTGGGGGAAGCCAAACCCAGCCACAACCAGATAAAGAGCACACCAAAAACACCATTTTCATGTGGGTAGCCCACCATAGCCACCCCAGTTGCCACAGCTGCCACAAAAGTGACTGGTCTCTATAGCAGCAGTCACAGCCACTGTGCAGATGTGCAGATAACATGCCAGACTCTCGACTACATTGGCACAAGGAGAGGCACCAATGGAGACCAAGGGAAAGAAAAAAAGAAGAGGCCCTCTCTCTCTACAAAGCACACTCCAGAGTAATAGAAGAAGCATCTGTTTTACAATAATAGGGGAGGACTTGATCACACCTATGTCAGCACTGGACAGATCATCTAGGCAACAAACCAACAGAGGCACAGTAAATCTATCAGATGGAAAGAACAAATCTATGGTTATTAAAGGGGGGAGGGGGGGAGAGGGAGAGGGAAGGGGAGAGGGAAGGGGACAGATAGGATAAAGGACATAAAGAATAAGTATGATTTGTAACAATGAATATGTTAATTTAAAATTTTAAAATAATAAAATAAAAAACAAACAAAAACCAAAAGTTGGACTCCAGCAACGGTATGAGTAACTGCTAGATATGATCAAATGGCTCAAAGTATTCCCATTCTCTCTTCTGCCATCTTCATTATGCGGCTTTTGCCCTCAGGCTGGTAACAGTGACTTCAAGGGTCACATTTAGACATAGTAGCATCTGAAAAAAAACTTGAGAAACATCATGTTCTGTTTCTGTTTCTCAGAAGTAATAACATTTTGTCAGAAGTCATCCAGCAGACACACTGTTATGTTTAATTGGCCAGGATTAGATCACATGCCCAGTGCTTAACCAGTCATTTTCTGTGGAATGGCATTACCATGATTAGCTTAGACTAACCTTTCAGAGTGGGATGAATATTGGAAAGTCAGCGGCCACAACCATCTACAGGTACAGAATGTGTCACTAGGACACACTCTCATTCTTTCACTTAGCTTGGCTCCATTCTCCTCTCTGTGGTTCTTTCATTCTCAGTCTCCAGATGGTAAAGTGAATAGAGCAGCTTAATTCTCATATTCTCTCAGGTTCATTCACTCCAATAGAAAAGATGATCTGCCTCATGCAAAATATCATTGTGCCTCATTGGCTCTGACTAGGTTGGTGGCTATTCCTAAACCAATCACTGTAATAGTAATTTTGTGTTCTGAAAGGTCAAGCTTAAGTTGTTCCCAAGAGGAAAATTGTGGCAGTGTGACTGGATGCTAGGCTACAATATCAACTGATATCTAGTACAATTCAATACGCTTTGCAACTCAACATCTATATAAACCTTTCTTGCTGTATATTCATGTTCAAAAATGTCTTCAAAGTTTACTTTTACAAACTGTTGGTGAAATGTGAGTTATTCACATCTATTTGGAAAATATACTTGCAAGTGTAATTGCTGTTTTAATTTTTAAGGCAATAGATTAATTTGGCTATTTTTGAACTTTAAATAAATTGAATAGTTCAGTGTGTGACCTTTTGTTGTCTGGCTTTTGTGTGTGACATATTTGCAAGGTTCATTCATGTTGTTTCATGTTCATTCTCACTGCTGTGTGACATTCCAATTTATAAGTATATCACAACATATCCAGTATAATGTTGATGAAAAGTTGGGTGATTTTCAGTTTGGAGCCATTACAAATAGTTGAACACATTTTTTATTCCAAACCACTTTATTAAAGTATGATTAACATACAAAAAGCTATACATATTTAATGTATACAATTTGATTATTAACACATATATTTTATTATAATGAAAAACAGGGTTAGGGGGTTTAGTAATAGGAGACTAAGCAATTCAAAACAAATTTCCCATTAAGGAAACTATAAAATCTGGACAAAAATAAAAATCTAAAAGATAAATCTGTTCAAAGGCATCTAAAATCCAAGAAGATGGGAAATCATAGGAGAACAGATCCAAAAGGTGACCAGGGAATTTGGTGGATGTTTTTCCCCTAAGGAAGTTTACCTGTTCTAGAGAAATGCTGAAAGACTTAGAAGCTCAGCAGAGCTTGTGACTGCTTGTTGAAGCTACAGATACAGAAATTTGAGTTTATGGCCCCGGAAACCCCCTTCACTTTTGTTTGGGATGCCGATGGTGATATTCCAGGAGGATGAACTTTCATTTGCATCAGCACTAAATGTGGACCTCTTTTTTCATACTTAATGACATTAAATAATATTTTAATGTTCTTTCATACTTTAATTGTCGAATCAAAATTATTATTGATCTTGTTTTCTTTTCAGGAATCATTTTATTGTACTAAGCCAAGTTATTCTGTTAACATACAACCCATCCATCAGTTACCCTAATTAGCTATTAAACATTTATATTTTTTACAGGGTTTTCAGTTTATTCATTTGCTTTTTATTCTGTTTTATTTGCTGCATTTTACAACATAATAAATCAAATATTGATATGGGTACAAATTTAGTATGCAGTCTTCCCCAAAATATTTTAAATATCATTCCAGCATTCTTTAAAGAATGCCCAATCTTTCTCTACTGATTTATAAAACTACCATTTTTCTTAATTACTTCCTATAAAGTTATTTTTTTTCCAAAGCTTTCCATTCTGGTAAACAGATTAGATAATCAGTTATCATGGCACTATTAACCCAAATGTCCAGTACTGGGAAAAAAAGTCAAATTATGGATCACTGTAAAACTGAATTTTATGGACCAAAGGTCAGACATTTAACAGGTTCTCAATAAATATTTGTTAAATAATAAAAAATTGGTTTGAAAAATATCTTGAAAAAATATTTGTTGCCTTGAAAAAAATGCTATTCTAAATGGAAAACAGCATGGCAAGAAATTGTGTATGCAATATGATTCCAGTTTTGTAAAAGCTTAGAAAAAGGTAAAAATATAATGAGCATTAATATTTTGCTGTGAGGCTGGGGGAGTAAGAGTTGATTATATTTTTCTTCACGTCAGTTTTCTAAAATTTACGTAGTACTCACATTGCATGCAACTATTTTGCAAGAGAGGAAAAAAAGTCAAGAAAAAAGGCCTGGAAAGGCTGGGCAGGAAAAAATAGAGAAAAACTGGGTCAAAAGGGCAGATTGAGCACTACGGCATTTCTCTTCTCCAACCACAAATCCTTTTAAATTACAGGAAAAGTAAATTTATGCATACGGAATAACTCCATAAAGGAACTGGGGAAATGCAAAAAGCAAATTCCTGCAAAATAGAAAGCACATGGGGCAAGAGCGCTGAGAGGGTGAAAGTGGAGGTAGGAGTGGGAAAAAAAGAAACCTGATATGGGACATGGGGCGGGGGGAGGAGCACAGGATTCAAAGAAGGTTGTGGGCCTGGCTGCTTCTAATTTTGGAAAAAGGTGGAGCCAGAACTACCAGATTCTTTTAGAGTCCAGGGCAATGGAAGGCATGGAAGCTGGTGTGGGGAGGGGGGCGCGCTGTTTGGCAGGAAGGGGAGGCCTCTCTCCTGGCAGGAAGCTGTGCTACGGAAAAGAGGGAGGAGACTGCAGCGGCAGCAGCGGCTGGTGGAAGCGCAATGTAGCAGAGGGGCCGCTGCCGCCTTTAAGAAGGCGTAGGGCCAGTAATCCAAGCACGAGGGACGCCGCCGCCATCCTCTTCCCCTGGCCCGCCGCCCTCCCAGACTCTCCTCCTCCGGATCCTCACCTCCCAGCTCTTGCAAGCACTCACTCGGCTGGTCGCTGCTGATCCTCCTTCCCACAGGCTCACAGCGGAGGCAACAGCGAAGTGTCCGATTTGGGCACGTGAGGCCCGTGATCTCCGGCAGTGGACGCCAGGCAGGGCAAGGCCGTTGGTGGGTGCCAGAATGGACAGGGGGGAGCGATGAGATGGAATTCAGCAGAAGATAGATTGGAGGTGGGCGCCGGGCAAGAATGGGGTGAGGAGTGCGGTGGGCAACAGGAAAAGAGGGGTGACATTAGGAGCTAGGCAAGGATTTAAAGGTGAACGCAGGAAAGGGTGGTGGGTGCCAGGGTAGCGGTTGGGGTAGGGACGGGGCGTGTGGGCAGCAGGCTGAGACGCTCAGGGCAGGAGAGCAGTGGGTACCGGTCAAGGTAGTGGAGGGATAGATGCTTTACAGGGGGTCTGGAGTGGGCCCCTTGCAAAGACCAGGTAGCCTGCTCCCTTCTGCAGAGTTCCGAATCCCAGCCAGCACTATCACCAATCCAGCCCTTTCCCGCAGCCTTAAGAAACCCAAGAGGGAGAGCACTGCAGCCACGCAGCCAGGATTTCCAGTACTGCTGCCGGGCTCAGGGGGAACGTTTGGGTGCCAACGCCGGGTACATAAACGTCACCTGTGGCATATTGGATATTTCTCTCTATCCTCTCTCCTCCCCCTGCAGGCATGAAGACCCCCAACGCACAGGAGGCCGAGGGGCAACAAACTAGGGCAGCTGTGGGACGGACCACTGGGTCTGCAAACATGATGAAGAAAAAAGCCTCCCAAAAGAAGCAGAGGGGCAGACCTTCCTCCCAGCCCCGCAGGAACATCGTGGGCTGCAGAATTTCTCACGGATGGAAGGAAGGCGATGAGCCCATCACCCAGTGGAAAGGAACCGTTCTGGATCAGGTGCCTATAAATCCCTCTCTTTATCTGGTGAAATATGATGGAATTGACTGTGTCTATGGACTGGAACTTCACAGAGATGAAAGAGTTTTGTCTCTTAAAATTCTTTCCGACAAGGTGGCATCATCTCAAGTTAGTGATGCCAACCTTGCAAATATGATAATTGGCAAAGCAGTGGAACATATGTTTGAGGGTGAGCATGGTTCTAAGGATGAATGGAGGGGGATGGTCTTAGCCCAAGCACCTATCATGAAAGCCTGGTTTTATATTACATATGAGAAAGATCCTGTCTTGTACATGTACCAGCTTCTAGATGATTACAAAGAAGGTGACCTCCGTATCATGCCAGAGTCCAGTGAGTCTCCTCCAGCAGAGAGGGAGCCAGGAGGAGTTGTAGATGGTCTGATAGGTAAACATGTGGAATATACCAAAGAAGATGGCTCCAAAAGGATCGGCATGGTCATTCACCAAGTGGAAGCCAAACCTTCTGTGTATTTCATCAAGTTTGATGATGATTTCCATATCTATGTCTATGATTTGGTGAAAAAGTCCTGTTAGAGTAAAATTTGCCAGTTTCGTAGAGGCAAATGTATAATTTATAGACATGTGATAAATGTTGACTTTTCAGTGTATTGGAAGCTTAAGGTTTCCTGATAACCCAACATCTTTGCCAGCATAACTGTTGTTTTGTTCTGAAAAATACAAATTTATGTGGACGTGAAATGCTGTGTGCAAGCACTTTGTCTTGTGGAGAAGATTGGGTGTGTTTGGTGGATGGGGCATGAGAGAAAGAACAGCTGTCAATTCAGACTGTGAATAACGTTCAGCTAGTATCATAACGTTCAGCTAGTATCGTAACCAGTCATCTAAAAATGGAATAGGACTTAGCTGGTCTGGTCTGGAGGGGAGGAGGGGAAGGAACTAGAGATGGGCTATAGGGGAAGGGAGAGGAGGAGATGACTGTTTAGGAAGAGGTGGGGAGGGGCCAAAAGGGAAAGGCTTCCTGGTGGAGGGGATGAGCCATGAGAAGGAAACATTCAACTGGGAAGGGGGTGAGGAATAATGGGGAGTTAGCTCTTGGGGCTTAGAGGAAAGCAGACAGAATAAATAGGGTAGAGAAGGGCACAAAGAAGCTTAGAAGAGGTGCAGAATAAGATGGAGAAAGATGAAGTTGGCAGGGATCTGGAAAGTGGCTAAACGATACACAAAAGGAGGGTCTACTCATGGGTGGGGGGAAGGCGGAAGGGGAAGGACACTGAGAAAGGAGGAATTCACACAAGAAAGACTGACAGAGAGAGTGAGAATACAGAAAAAGAGATGTGGAGAGTGGGGCCTGAGAGGGATGGGAAGGCCCAGGAAAAAGTGGGACTTCTGGCGGTATCCACATTATCCCCCCTGGCCCTGTACACCAAGGAAGTGGCAACTGTCAAAGAAGCCAAATGCACTGCAGGTTCCCTAGAAGGACATTTTGACAAGGATGACTCAGACGAGTTAAGCAGGAGTCAAGTTTATACCTATAAGTCTTTTCTTGTTCCAGGGAGTTCATGCCACACCTGCTAAGCAGAACACCAACCCCCAGCCTAGACACACTAAGGTGGTACTCCATAAGCAGTGGGCTGTGGGCTGCCTCCACGTTTCCCAGAGGACCCAGGTGCAGTAAATCTTGGACCTGAAGGTCCTGGATCATTTCTCCTACACTGGGTAAACAACGCTGGTAGAGAATGGGTTAGTGGGGCTCTCAGAACTTAAGCGATGTGTTACCTTGTGTTTGGTAAGTATTTTATCCAGAAAAGTGGAACCTTGCTGAACACAGGTACAGTGGTCCCATCACTGCTTTTTCTCTTGCTGGAATGTTTCTTGCCTCCCTATAGAGGAGGGACATCAGAGGATTAAGCCTAATGCCTCTCTCCAGGGCATGGGAAGTACTTGCCTGTCCATGCTTCTTCCAGCAGCTTCATGAAACCACAGGTGGCTCCAAGCAGTGCTCCACCAAAGGGAGGCCTGCTGCTCCCAGAAGCCCCATTCTGGCCAGACCCCAGAGAAAGCCAGTGGCTACTGATCCCTCACATGTATGTCCTGGTCAGACTTGTCCACCCCAAGCTCATGGGGAGCTATGATGAAAGTTTGTGCAGCTCTTTATCTAGGTGAGGTAGATGCCGTGGGCAGTCAGGCTGGGAGTTGTGACTTTGTATAACTAACTCCTTTGGCTGTATAATACCACATGGAAGGGTTGTGGTTGGTGGGGAGGAGTGGCAACCCCCAAAACGTCCCTCAGAACTATGGTGTTCAATGCACAGTTCTGTGTCCTTCTCTTCCTCACCTCCCTGTTTTTCCCTGTCCATGCTTCTTCCAGCAGCTTCATGAAACCACAGGTGGCTCCAAGCAGTGCTCCACCAACGGGAGGCCTGCTGCTCCCAGAAGCCCCATTCTGGCCAGACCCCAGACAAAGCCAGTGGCTACTAACCCCTCACAGGGATTTCCTGGCCAGTCTTGTCCACCCCAAGCTTACAGGGAGCTGTGATGACAGTTTGTGCAGCTCTTTGTCTCTAAGTGAGGTAGATTCCATGGGCAGTCAGGCTGGGAGTTATGACTTTGTATAACTAACTCCTCTTACTGTATAGTATAGTACTACATGGAGGGGTTGTGGTTGGTGGGGACAAGTGGTGACCCCCCAAAATGTCACTCAGAACTATGGTGTTCAATGCACAGGACTGCGTTCTTCTCTTCCTCCTCTCCTTGCCTTTCCCCAGTCCTTCTCCTGAAGTCCCTCTCAAAATACTCACCGGGTTTTTTGTTGGTTTGTTTTCTGTTTTTTGCATCCTTTCCCTTCACTAACCTATACCTCTGCCCCCAAAGAAAGAGTGCTGGGGACTCCCTGCTGCCCAGGCTTCCCTAACTCCATGCGTAGTGCGGGGAGCCATGGGGCTTCCAGGAGTTGAAAGAAGGTGGTAAATCCAGTTCATTCTCTCCACCTAACATGACCTGAGGCCGATTGCCTCAGGAATTACACAAAGCAGGCCCACCTGTCTACAGCAGGGATCAATATTATTTCATACTTCACACAATTTAGTCCAGCAAACACCAGCGGGCTGCCCAGGGCCAATTTCAGCCAGCTGTCATGTTTGTTCTTCATGTATTTATTGTTTTCTACTTTAAATTAGGTACTTTAGACACTTGGGAGATTTCACATTATGAAAATCCGTGTTTCTGGCTTCTCTGGAAAATGAAAACAAAACAAAACAAAACATGAGGATTAGGGCCCACATTCCAGCAAGGATACAAGCAGCTGAGTCTGAGGTAGGGCTCAGCCCATTTTAGACTCAGAATACCCTCTCCAGTTGGCCACACCCCCAGCGGGCCTGCTTCACTCTAATAAAATGTACAGCTGTCCTTTGCAGGCATTTGTGTTTGTAACTTTTACACTAAACCCAGGGAAAATTGCCCCTTTTTAACGTGCTTTGACCCCATTTACTTTTTAATTTATTTGTTTTATCTTCATCCTACAAATACATACTTTGGGTGGGCTCTCTGCCAGGCACTATTCTGGGCACCAGTACTGATGACATAGTAATGAGCAAAATAAACAAATAATAAAAAAAAAAAATCTAACCCTCATAGAGTTTTTATTTTAGTGTCAGAGACAGAAGTCAAAGTAAATAAGTAAACATAAAGTATTTTCATAGTGACAAGTGCTGAGAAGAAAAAAATAAAGCAAGAATGGGGAAATGAAATTCCACAGAGGAGGCTGAAGTGAGATAGATAGGGAAAGACCTCACTGAGAGAGAACGTGGATTTTGAGTAAATGCCTGAAGGCCGTGAGAGAACTGGCCCTGTAGCTGTCTGGAGAAGGAGCATTCCAGGTACAGGGACAGAAAGCTCTGGGACCCCATCCAGGAGTTGGCCTGTTGGAGGAGCAGGGAGGATGCCAGCATGGCTGGAGCTGAGTGAGCAAGGTAGAGAGTAGCAGTAGGTGATTTCAGAGAGGTAATGGGGCTGGGGGAGAAGCAGATACCTTAGAGCCCCTGTGGATTCTAGAATGGAATTTTTCTTTTACACTGAGTGTGATGGGGAGCCATGTGTGTATTTACAGCAGGAGAATGACAAGATTTGTCTTATATTTTAACAGGATCACTCTGGCAACTCTCGAGAATAGTCTTATGGGGTGCAAAAGTAGAAAAAGGGAGATGAAATATATTAATAGAGCAGAGAAATGACCTAGAAACAGATTTACACATAGGAAACTTGAATCACAATGGATGTGACATTCTTTGTGAGGAATGATAAAAACATTCTTTTCAATAAATGTTGCTAGGTTAATTGGTTATCCATATGTTAATAAATAAATTTAAACCTATTCCTCACACATAATGTGTTCCCAGTAGAAGACCTGTGGATTCTAGAATGGAATTTTTCTTTTACACTGAGTGTGATGGGGAGCCATGTGTGTACTTACAGCAGGAGAATGACAAGATTTGTCTTATATTTTAACAGGATCGCTCTGGCAACTCTCGAGAATAGACTTATGGGGTGCAAAAGTAGAAAAAGGGAGATGAAATATGTCAATAGAACAGAGGAATGACCTAGAAACAGATTTACACATAGGAAACCTGAGTCATAACAGAGGTGGCATTTCAAATGATTGATGAAGATTTTATTCAATGAATGAGTAGCAAAAACCAAACGTTTATCTCTTTCTCTTACGCTCAAAATAATTCCCAAGACAAGAAAAGTCAAATTTGTAAAACATTTAGAAAAAAATGTTAGAAAGTACTTATAGTTTGACCTCAAGAGTAGAAGAGATTTAAAAGCACAAAATGCACATATCACGAAAGAAATTTTGGATAAATTTGATTAGAATAACATATGCAACTCCTTAATTACAAAAGTCATAATAAAGCAGGGGAAAAATAACATTTGGCTGCATACTAAGATAGTCACAATGAGTGAAATAAATAATAGTATAATCAATAAGAAAGACAAACTTTATTGAAAAGTCGACAAATGATGTGAACAGGCAATTCACAAAAACAGTAGATCAAATGGTCAATAAACGTACATTGCTTTCATCTGGCTCCCATTACCTTCTATCTTTTCTGTACCACATATCACCTTCTAACATACTATGTAATTTAATTCATATGTTTATTGTTGTTTCCCCTTCTAGAATGTAAGCTCTAGAAGTGCATGATTTTTCTTCCCTTTATGCTCAGTGATGTATCCCAAGTACTTAAAAGAATATGAGAAATATAGTAGGTGCTCAATAAATATTTGTTGACTATATCAATCTCACCATGAATCCAGAAAGTGGAAATTAAAATTACATATACACATTAGATCAGCAACATGTGTGAAATTTGAAAATATGTACTGACCAATTAAACAAATGGGAGATCCTATACACAGGTGGTGGTATTTTAAGTTGGAGAGAAACTTGCCACTATTTAGTGATTTTCAAGATGGGATATTACCAGCATTTTTACTCTTACATATTGTCATTTTATATGTTTATTTATTTATACATATATCTTATATATTACTGTATATTATATATTGTTGGAAAGAATTCTTTTCATTAGTTTTGAGAAATTTTTTGATTTCCTGAATAATTTGTTCCTGGATCCATATGTCATTCAGGAGCATGTTGTTTAATTTCCATGTGTTTCTATAGTTTCCAGAGTTTCACTTGTTACTGATTTCTAGTTTTAATCCACTGTGGTCTGAAA